TAACATATTTATGAAATCTAAAGTGTAACAAGATCCGACAAATATCTTGTTGTAACTTCCCCCTTGTTAAGAGACAATCATTTAGGGAACAGAACCTAGATGATTTGGCACTGGCATTAAACACCACGCGAAGTTTCGTCGAAGCGCTGTCTGGTTTGAAAACTGCATGATGCGGAATATAATACATGAAATCTGACGTCTTATCTGATACTGAGAGAAACAGAATCTCGAAAGGGATATGAAACAATATATTGCCCACTTTCATTGCGTGAGAAAATCTGGTAGATTAATTTTTCGCATGTAGTTTCCTCTGGAGAAACGGCTTTGACGTCGGGAACATTTTCCAATTCCCAAAATGTTTTAAGAGTGTCCTCTAATGAAGAGTTATCTATCGAGGCACAAAATAATGAAGAAATATAAGCATTATTATAACTGTCAATTTTTCCCATTATGACATAACCAAATACCGTATTAAGTGCATCTGATGTCTCTGCTGAACCACTGACGCGACCATCAAGCAGAATCTGAGAAAATAAATCGACACCTACTAGCAAATCACTCTCACCAGGGATGTGAAAAAGGTTTTCTGCCAACGGTAAATTGACGATGTGATTCCATGGTTCAATAGAAATGGAATAGGATGGTAAACCACTACAAATCTTTGGAATTGTTTTATTAACAGGTCGAAGGTCACACATCCCAGATTAGAACAAGTCTGCATGGAGTCGAGTCCACTGATTTCAACTGTCGAATTAATTTTGGGTAAACACAAACAATTAGCTGCTTCGAGAGATATGAACGAAGACATACTCCCGGAGTCCAGAAGGCACCTAAATTTCTGATGAATTCCCCGAGAATCTAAAATTGCAATGATGTCGGTTGATAACAACACACTTGCATTTTGTGATACCATACCAGCCGCCACCACCTGACCCGAACAGTTACTATACTGTTCCTAGATGTCGAAGGATGTTCGATATTATTAAAATTAACAGTAGACTAAATTTGTCAATTTCCAGATTTTTTGTCTGAATGTGTGAAATGTTTTCTGTGGTGGAATGAACATTCACCAAATTCGATAATGATGTACTGCAGAGTAGTTTTTGGTTTTCTCCCAGCTCTTATTTATTGGGTGCAGTTTTGGAGCATATTTCACAGAATGCTGATCCTTCACTATTTAACACGGCTGAGAAACTAAAGAAATCTTTCTAAGTTGATAACTGTTTGCCATCTGTGGATTCGGAAGAAGAAATACAGACTTTCATTTTGGGTTCAAGACAACTCTTTTCCTCAGCAGAATTCAATCCGAGCGGCTGGGTATCTAGTGCGGATAATGTAGATCGAATTGAGAATATTTTGGGGTTGAACTGGACTGTTTTCCATGTGAGATTAGACAAAACGTCAATCCATTGTTGGACTAACCGGAGTCATTGACTCGCCGAGTTTTGCTATCGATTGCCCAACGTATCTACCATCCGATTGGATTTTCCGCACCTATCAATCTGATACCGAAGGTTCTTCTTCAAAAAACGTGGTCAACAAAAGCTCTCTGGAATGATCTGCTTCCTGATGGATTTCGTAAAGAATTAAAGAGGTAGGTCGAAGAAATTCCCATACCATACAAAATCCCTAGAAGAATATTTGTGAATGAAGGAACTACGATGCACATCGATGCTGGTATCATCTTGTGCAGCTTGTATTTTTGCACGAACTAAGTCTGATAATGGACAAGTTTATGAGACACTGGTGATGGCAAAGACACGTGTGGACCTACCTGAAAGGGTGACAATACCGCGTTTGGAAGTTATTGCTGTATTGATATGCGCCAGATTACACAAACAGGTTTCAACATCGATCCTGAAAATATTACTTTCTGGTCAGATTCGTCTGTTGTCATACATTGGATTCAAAATTCTGGACCAAGGACCTTCTTTGTACATAATCGAGTCACTGAAATAAAAACATTGTGTGAACCAAACCAATGGAAGCACATTAAAGGCGACCTGAATCCTGCTGTTGATCTGATTTCACGAGGATGCAACCCCCCCCCCCTCAACAACTACTCGAGAGCAAATGGTGGAAGGAGCCATCTTGGCTCTTTTTACCTCTGGATTATTGGCCTTCTTCAAAGCCGTTTGCCGATGGGTCTGCTCGAAGTGAAGTTGACAGAGAGAGAAGAAAAACGGATGTCACAGCTACCGCAACTGAGGAGAAGGCGTTCTCTCTAACTTTTTTGGCTGAACGATTTTCAAGTTATTTCCTCATTGTTGAGATTGTAATGCATGTTTTGGATGCTATTTGTATAATTTGTCTACAGTTCATAAAATTTTGCGGTTTGGACGAACAGAGTGACAAGAGGATTCACAAGTAGAAAGGTAATCAATTCGGAAACGATTTTGTAGCGTTCTATCCAGAAAGAATATCTTGATGCAAACAAGAAAAAATCTACATTGAAGGGTTTTTTCCATTTTGTACGTTGAAGAGAGAAGATTTTTGCGCATCAAATCTAGATTGTTGGATCAGCAGAATACTGAGGAATTTAATCGTCATATTGTCCTTCTAGGCAGACATCCTATGGTCCTGAGAATGATTGAACATCTGCATGTCGTTCATAATCATGCAGGAATCTTGTCTTTGCTTGTCATAATCAGGGAACGAATCTGGAGGATTTGTGGCAGACAAGCTGTTGATCTGGTTGTAAAAAAATATCTAACCTGCCGTAAGAATCAAGCAAAAGCTCTCAAAGTAGCTTTAGCTCTAGGAGGTTTTTGGGAGAAGTTGACAAGAGTATTGAAGGATCTCTTGAAGAAAAATTTGGTACATTCATGTCTGAATCATGAAGAAATTACCACATGGTTGTATGAGTGTGAAGCTGTGATGAACAACCGGCCATTAACTTACCTCTCTGAAGATACTACAGAACTCACAACATTGAAGCCACCAATGATCCTTCAAAGCCTCGCCGGAAATGATATCGCAGATCTTGATCAAATTGAAACGACAAGTCTGAGAAGAAGATGAAAATATCTGAATTCTGTAAGAGAAGTACTCAAATTGAGGTTTAGCAAAGAATATTCGGGACTTCTACGCCGTGTTGAACCCAAGCATACTGATACGCTACAGATTGGAGACATAGTTCTAGTAGGAAGTGACAATAAACGACGCCTAGAATGGCCTCTTGGTAATGTTATTCAATTGCATCCTGGAAGAGATGGCGTCACGAGATTGGTAGAACTGAAAACAAATAATGGGAAAATGCTTCGCCCTTTACAACTCATTTACCCATTGGAGTTATATGATGATATTTTGACATATCCGTCGATTGAAGACGATGCAATGATAGAGGTAACCGGTAACGATGTCCACTCCTCCGACGAAAAAGACAAGTCTAAATCTGCTGTATGCTACCAAACTCGAAGCGGAAGGACTGTTGAGACTCGAAATGTTTTAAATTTGTGAATTTTGCAAATAGATGTTGGGAATATCATTTCGTATTGATAACCATGGTGTCCAAGAAGGACAACAGATGGTGTATTTTAATAAATTTGACTGACAGTTTTTTTTTGAGTTTTGTTCTGACATCAAGTCAATGAATTGGAATTTATGTTTAATGAATCAATAAAATAGTTTAACGAAAGTAATTCAGTTGTTCGAGTTAATTGATTCTAGTTGTAATTATCAATCCTTCATTGCATTGTGAACAAACGCCATTGGTAACTGGCAGAATAAACTTTGGATATAGACCAATCATCCTACATGTGTATTACTGAAAAAGGTATTGCCGATAAAATACCAATTCCTTTCAGCAATACAGTACTTGAATATTATTATAAATATTATTCGAGCATTAAATTTTTTGGACTCATACTCGATAAACAGTTGATTTAGTGTGAACTCGTCAATTTCTTAAGAAACAAAGTATCAGCTGTATTAGGCGTATTGAAGAGAGGCTTGGTTGATTTGTACCTGATGGGAAATACTTGAAGTCCATTCATTTTTCTTTAATCCACTCTCATTTGCAATATCTAAGTGTAATATGGTATCCAACCTGTGAATATATCTTGAGACCCTTAAAGACTGCAAAATTTATCAATAAAAAGAGATATTTTCACTACCAAGGAGATGTCCAACAAACGGACCATATAGAAAATACCAATTGACGCCTCTCTGTAGCATTTATGAATATCAATGTTGTTTATTTATTCACAATAGTGTCAACAATTCTGAACACACAAATACTAGATTCACAAAAAAAATCAGTTTCATCAGCATAACACTACAAATAAAATTGATTTTAACAAACTTAGTTTTGACTCCAATTATGGTCCAAACTCATTGCTCAGAGGAGTGGAATACCACTACCAACTACCACAAGATCTGAAGGTACTCAACCCATCAAGGTTCAAAATACAGTTAAAGTACTATTGAAAAAAAGTGTACTAGCTAGAGAAATGGAGCAAAATATTTGTCATACACTCTTGAGTTTACTTTGTTTCAATAACGACTTGATTTAGTCATGTGATATTTATCTATTCGAATTTGTTTGAATATTTATATTTTGTAGATTTTCTTCGTTTTTTATGTCTATTTCTCCTTTAATGCTTAACTTTTTTGTAATTGTAATTTACTTATCTATAGGACGTACCTGAATAGAATGTATCATTCTCTTGGTGCGTAAATAAATCGAAAAAAAAAAACATTTTCGAAAAAAATCCTCGATGGGTTTTTCAAACAACTTGATGGAATGATAATTTTGACAGGTTCACAGGAAATTCAAAGCACTTTCAATTTTTAGTCTCTTGGTGTTGTGGGGTATGTATGCAGATGAACTGTTTTATTTCCATTCTACAAAACAAAGAGAGAGATGAAGATGATTTCGATTATTGAAAAAAATCTACCTATTGAAATTTAGCAGTTAAAAACTGAAACACCCTATGTACCACTTTGTCTCATTAGGCCTCTTGTATTTGAACTATTACTAACGCTATATTTCTCTTCAGTATGCGCCTAATGTCTATATGGGTTTATCTCAAGAATGCAAGGACTTCATGAGAGATATGCTGAGCTATGAGAAGTATAAACGCCCCCTTGGTGAAGCACTTAAACAATACCCATTTATCCGCCTTGAAGAAAACAGAAGCCGATCTATAGATTATTACAAAAAAGGCTGTGATACTCTCACCGAGGCCATTGGATTAGTCGAAAGTAAGCAGTTTGGTCCTGCTTGTATATCACTGACACATGCTATTTTGCTCCTGGAGATCTATGCTAGATCTGTTTTCGAAGATGAAGGACTCTATGCATATATGTGTGACAGATTGATACAATACAGACAGTTCAATAAGGAGATTGAGAAAAGGTTGCTGAGCAAAGATGATCGGGAGCCGCTTTATATGCCTTTGAACAATGAGCATCTAAGGTAAGTTCAAAACGTACTTGTATTTTACCTGTGAATGAGAGTTATCTTATGGTTGCCTGGGTATCATGGTTGTTGGATGGTCTCATAGTAAAAGAGTCATCAGTAGTTTTAAAGTTATCTGCAGAAAAAAAAACAATTTGTTCCGCTTCATGATATTCTATCTTCAGAAATTGTCATGACGTCAGTAGTAGTACTCAGTGTTTTGTTCATGAGTTTTGTGGTGAAGAAGTTACATTTCACAGAGGTAATCATAAAAAATAAAAACAATGAAATTACCTACCTAATCGACTTCATGCAATTCATGTGATCAATTTTTCCTGGTCTGTTTTCATTTTGGTTGCTAATACCATAGAATATCTGTCAAAGATGAAAATAGCTGATTTAAAAAAATAAAATGATGTGTAATAACTTGTTTGAATATCTAACAAAAAACAACTACTTTTCTGGCTAATACCACATGAGGTTGAATTTTATCTGTTGGGTATCGAAAAATGATGAAAATCGCGAGCATTCAAATGTTTACCTTCTTTTGTTAGCTTGTTGTATACATCAATATGCGAAGAGTTTTTTTCTGACATCACAAGTCTTTGCCTAGGTTTTTTCAGCGAATTACCTGGTCTACTAGAATACTGATGTTCAACTGTCATGAATTGAAAAACCTTCTTGTTAGTGTGGAAACTGGCATAATCTGAAGTTTGCGAAAAAGTGGACGGCAATGGTCTCTGTAATTTGCACCGCTCATGATTCTGACAACTTTTTTTTGTTGAACGAATAATTTGTGGGAATGACATGATCTGCCCCAAAGTAATATTCCATCTGAGAACCTCTGAACTGACTATTTTCTTTATTTCATGGATGAAAATTGTAATCGAAGACAATTTTTGGCTCAACCGTTCCACATGAGCTGCCTAATTGAGTTTGTCATCACTTACAATGCCCAGTAGTGTAACAGTGTTTCCAGACGAGATATTAGAGTGGGATGATATCAACAATTCTTGATTTTTATCGGTGTTCAGTTTAAGTGTATTCGCAATAAACCAGCAATTGGCTTTTTCTCGAGAACGTTCCACAGATTCTGATTAATTTCAGAATTCATCAAAGTGGTGTCATCTGCAAAGAGTACACTGTTGATCAGAAGCATATGATAGAATAGATCATTTATAAACACAATGAACAACAAGGCTCCCAGGACTGACCCCTGGGGAACACCATGTGCAATTTTAGCGAGAGATGATTTACCATAACACATTGAGATCTCCCATTCAGATAAGATTCGAAAAAATTATAATATCGACACATCAATTCCCTACTTGTCATGTTCACAGACACATTTTTTTATCCACGGTCATCATCAGAAACTTGTATTATAAAGTATGATTATAACCCCCCCCCCCTTGCAGATCTTAAAAAAATCCTGATGCATTTTTATAATCCTCTCCTAAATAGTTATGTAAGTAAGTAGCAATATAGTTGGTAAGCAATGCAAGTAAGAAGCAGTCCAAGCAATAGTCTAAGCAAGAGCCATACATATATTTATATCATGCAGTTCTCAATATGTCAAGATACAAGTAGTCAAGAACATGAATGATAATGAGAAGTTCACTATCAGTCTTCTAACTCAACACTGCCAAAACGTTTTCTTTGTCTCTGCGGCTCCCAGTCAACCCGGGAAGAATGTGGCCTTGAGGCAACCAATCACGCTGAAGGGTTTGTTGCTAAGTTGACTCAAACACCCTAAATTGGCGCGTGGACGGATACACTATGAGAGTATGATGAGTGCAGCGTACACTGTTCAGAATTGTTTTATAAATTATCAACAACACACGTGAAATACGATAACAACTGATATGTTGTACATTAAAATAAGGCCATAATATCCAAATTTCGAATGAAAATATAATTCGTTTATGTACAGGCCAAGAACCCTCCTTCCTTTCCACAAAATCCCAAATTTCTGTTGAGGTCATCCGAGATGGGTAGTAATCCATCTCTTTCCTCGTTATGAGTATTCAAGATCCTATTTTGAAATACATAAAGGCACAGAATGTGAATTTCGAATGACAGTTGAATACCCGAATTTATCTGAAATTCTTCTACCAAGTCTGCTCCTACCTACTATCTCTGGAGTTCGGTGGCTGTAGATGAAAATAGATGGAGAACACCTTCTTTCTGGATGTTCAACAGATATAATTCAATGTTCGACGTGGCAAATGGCCAGTAAAGTAGTTGTTTTCTGTTGAATATTCAGAATGATATTATGTGTATATGAAGGAGAATGCAAATTCTCTACTTCAGAAGATTTGTTTTCAAATTCTTATCGTGTATGTTCAATAGATGTAATTCAATGTTCGTCGTGGCATATATCCAGTAAAGTAGTTGTTTTCTGTTGAATAAAACGAGAAATGAATGATGTTTCCATCACATAGAGAATGCGAATTCTCAATGTATTTCTTTATATTTATATCCATTTTTTTATGTTCATAATTATATCTGAGAATATTCCTTTTCAATACCTCCATTCAATCAAGGAGTTCAAACTTTAACGATGGAAACTTGATAATTTTATAGACCTCAATCGCAGATTCGTGATTAGGTTTTCTCAATTCAGAATTCCTTTCCACGCCCTGTATGATGAATATTAATTTATCATAAATCCAAAAACCCATATCACCTTAATACTTACTATAATATGACGGACATCAGCTGCTTAGCTACTTGCCTGTCACCGTATGACTGTGAAAGTAACAAGTGCGCTATCAAAACAAAACAATATTGAATAGCTGATCAGGTTACCCGAGGACAGCCTGACGAAAATTGAAATTGATTAGACAAAACAATAAAGAATGAGGTTTACCTATCAATCCTGAAGAAAACTGGATATCCTGATATCCATAATGAGTAATTTTTATTTCACTCGAATAACAATCTCCACTGTCAACGGTGACCACTGTTGTCTTTAAGAGGAGAGTTTCAACCAAATCGACATGCAGGCCTGCACTAGTTGTTGCTATTTGGGCTTATGAATGATTCAATTGAAAAACTGATTATATCATCGTAAAGAAGAAGGTTGGGACTAGGGCCTGGTTATCATACGGAGTCGAAACTCATTCATTTATAGAAGATACAGATTTTTGAAAAACGTAAACATTGAAAATTTTTTGTCTCAAATTGAAATATTTTCGATCTCAGTACAATTGTTGGAAATTCGGCGAGGTGTCACTGAAATATCAGCTCTTGAAATGTTTCCATTCGGACAGGAAGCAACAAAAACGATTATTGTGTCAACAAAATATCCATCCATCTCAGCTGATCGCGGTAAACACCATTTCTCGAAATAATATAATGCAGGAAACTAGGATATGGTAGTTCAGGCACTACCTGATAGATGGCACTGTTCGAAGTGACAGACAGCGGCAGAGATGAATGGTGCATTGTATTGCAAGCAGATGGCTCGTAGGAGAGATGATGAATACAAACCCGTTTCCACCGTTGCCAATATTATACATATTACTCGGACATATCATGAAATCTAGGCGACGTGATAATACAGAGGGTATTATTCAATTATCTGGGCATATTTCAAGGAGTGGTTCTCCGAGTGTTTGTAAGACGAACAAATCTAATATATAAAATTCTCCTGTCACGGTCACGGTGATAGTGGTCGAACTCCTCCGAAACGGCTCGACCGATACGTATGAAATTTTTTGTGCGTATTCGGTAGGTATGAGATTCGGGCATAATCTATTCTTTGAATAGAAAATACAAAATGGCGGATCCAATATGGCGACCGAGTATAGTTATCCGATTTCATTCAAAATTGGTACTCAAGGGTTTTCGGGGTCGGAGACTATGAATATTTCGTCAAATTTTAAAAATTCAAGATGGCGGATCCAATATGGCGGACGAGCTTTGTAATTATGGTCAGATTCCATCCAAAATTGGTATCTGAAGGTTTTCGAGGTCGGAGAATATGATTTCCTCATCGAAATAAGGAAATTCAAAATGGTGGATCCAATATGGCGGACGAGTTTTGTAATTATTTTTTTTTATCGCTTGGAGCGCACGAAAGGAAATCCCTATAATGTTCAAAGAACATCGTGCGTTCCTAGGGAGGATAGGGACAGGAGGTAGGTATTGGAGTTTTTTTGAACTTCTGGAGATTATATGTTGTTGGGAATACTTCCTCATGCACTGAATTCCAGAGCCTAGCCGTTCTATGGATGAAGGAGTTTTGATAAAGTGCTGTTCGACATCCTTCGAGGTTGAAAACGGAAGGATGTGCTGACTGGGCTTGTCTACTTCGTCTGACTGGTATTGCTAGTGGAGGGATGATAGCAGAGATTTCTGAAGAACATTTCCCGTGGAAGTATCGATAGAAAAGTGAAAGGTCGCCGACCTTTCTGTGGTGTTCCAATGATGTCAAAGAGTGAGTGAGTGTGGCGTCACCCACCAGGCGAATGGCTCTTCTCTGAATGGAATCTAAGAGCATCAGCGTATGTTTTGGTGCTGAACAGAACTGATTGGTCAGATATCATTCAAAATTGGTATCTGATGGGGGTTTTCGAGGTCAGGGATTATGATTTTTTATCAAAATTAGGAAATTCGAAATCGCGGATCCAATATGGCGGACGAGTTTTGTAATTATGGTCAGATTCAATTCAAAATTGGTATCTGTAGGTTTTAGAGGTCGGAGATAATTATGAATCATTTGTCAAAATGGGGAAATTCAAAATGGTGGATCCAATATGGTGGACGAGTTTTTTAATTATTATGATAAGATTCTATGTAAAATTGGTATCGGGGGGTTTTCGGAGTCGAAAATTATGATCCTTTTATCAAAATTTGGAAATCCAAGATGGCAGATTCAATATGGCTGAAGAGTTTTGTAACTTAATCCGATTCCATTCCAAATTTGTATATGGGGGATTTTGGGATGGGAGATTATGATTCTTCATCAAAATTAGGAAATTGAAGATGGAGGATGGCAACTGAGTTTTGTA